ATATAATAAAATTCAGGTCAATACACAAAACTTTATTTGGATGTTAAAATTTAAAATTTAAATGTTAAAATTTTAAATTTTAAAATTTTAAATTTTAACATTTAAATTTTAAATTTTAACATCCAAATAAAGTTTTGTGTATTGACCTGAATTTTATTATATATTTTAATCAAAAACACAAACATGACGCATGTAAACCTTAAACTTGTTTAAAGAAATTACGTTTCATAAAAAAATTACCCCTAAATTTAAGCAACTCTTGCTTTGAACAAGTCATCGTTAACGTTTGTTAAAGACAAATTTCTGCGGGACTCCGGACCTTTATTCAACGGGTCCGTGGACCGTAGTTTGCGCATCACTGATCCAAGAGCTACAAAGAAAATCCGATGTATGAAGTTCTCACATTGGGAAGATGTTAACAAGAAAAGTTTTTAGATACAATTTTTCAAACAACTCGTTTCTATGGAAACAAGCTTAGGAGGAAATTCCTCAGTTTTGTGATACGAGTTTAGATATTTTACGTTACTTGTTCGAGCTGTATAGACCATGACATGAAATAAAGAAAATCTTGTGACGTCATCTGTTTTTGCTCGCTCTTGTGTGTCTAATGTGATTCACCTGAGGTATTTAAACGACGTGGAAGTTAACCTACGATTATCGCTTACAGGTGGTCGTCACTTGACCGAAACGTCATCCAGCTGAATCTAACCCATGACCAATCAGTAAAGAACTGAAGAAGGCAGCTGTCCTGAGAGGGGAAACAAACATTGTATCTCAGGTAAGAGTGTCGTAACTTGCGCACCTGCTAAAATTGCCTCTGTGTAATTTTGATTCGTTGTTTAAGCATTTCAAGCCAAATGGCAAATCTGTGTCCTATCTGCTTTAACAATCGATCCTCCTTTTGTATTTATGGCTTTCGTATAATTCTCGGTGTAAACAGCGATTATTTCCTTAAACAGCGTTAACCAGTTGATCTTTGTAATGGTGAAGTGCGGTGTTTTCTTCGCGGTACGGACTGAATTCTTTAATATTAATCAGACGAACTATGATTCTCAGTGTAAACAGCGATTATTTCCTTAAACAGCGTTAAACAGTTGATCTTTGTAATGGTGAAGTGCGGTGTTTTCTTCGCGGTACGGACTGAATTCTTTAATATTAATCAGACGAACTATGATTCTCAGTGTAAACAGCGATTATTTCCTTAAACAGCGTTAACCAGTTGATCTTTGTAATGGTGAAGTGCGGTGTTTTCTTCGCGGTACGGACTGAATTCTTTAATATTAATCAGACGAACTATGATTCTCAGTGTAAACAGCGATTATTTCCTTAAACAGCGTTAACCAGTTGATCTTTGTAATGGTGAAGTGCGGTGTTTTCTTCGCGGTACGGACTGAATTCTTTAATATTAATCAGACGAACTATGATTCTCAGTGTAAACAGCGATTATTTCCTTAAACAGCGTTAAACAGTTGATCTTTGTAATGGTGAAGTGCGTTGTTTTCTTCGCGGTGCGGACTGAATTCTTATATAATATTTAGACGAGCTCTGACTTAGGATGTTAACATTTTGTTTCGTGCGTGGATCAGAGGTTAAAGGAGTCGCCTTGCAGCGGCGGCAACTTCTCCGACAGCTTTGTTATGCGTTCGGCCTTAGCAGTGCAACGCTAGGCAAAATCTCAGTCAATTGGCATCGCACGCGTTCCCATATCAATATGGTTACTTGGAATTCTTCTAATTTGCCATATTATTGTAATTTGTGTCTGATGTCATTTTCAGATGACATTTGTTCGCAAACGTGTGTGGGTTTCATTGATTACCTTGTCATGGTACGGTAGTTCGGTGTTTCTAATTCTGAGGTTCAGTTAACAGAACACATTCTTTTATTTACCTAGGAAAATTTCCATGGCAACTTAAACTTAAGTTCCGTCAAAAGCAATTTGAATTAGCAAACAAGTTTATTGTTACTGACATTGTTAAAAGACAGAGTTATTCAAAGGAGAAGTTTCTTGGTGTTCGTGGGCCAGATATATCGTTCGTAGCTTGTAAACGAGAATTTAAGCGAACAAACGTCAATTTTTACAGCAGGCATTGAAATAATGAATTCGTCTTCAGATAAATATTTTTTTAATAACCCCGTGTGAACAGTTCGTAGTCTAAATATGTATTTTAACGATCGAATCTTTGTAATGCTCCCTAGACCGTTTCGTTAAATTTTGGAGTGCTGTAGGCGTCTACAGATTTTGTTGGCAATAGCAAAATCATTCCGATGAAAATCTAATTCATGCTCAAGTGGGCTAAACACGTTATGCATGAAATCTTCGCTTTATTTGGAGAGCTGCTGTAGTTTATTTCCATTCAAATTCTGATTGCCTGTTGACTTCTGACCATGAAATGGGATTACTAGGTTGGCAACTCTGCTGTGCGATGTTAGTCTTTTCAAGAGCGGCTTTTCTGTTGAGCGGAATCTGGAGTTGCTATTGACGAAAGTTGACGTGTGAATATTCCGTCTGGAAGAGGTTTTCGGACGTATGTGACTTGAATTAATTTACATAAATATATATTTACATAGAATTTTTTTTAACGTTGAATTGGTACAAATAATTGAAATTTTATATATCTTTCTTACTTTCGAATAACGTTTGACCTCTTCGACCGATTTTTATTAGACTTGGTAAGCCTGGTTGTTGGATATTTGATATTTTTATAAATCTATGTGTAGTATGACGCCATTATGGAGTGATAACAGATTATTTACACTTAAGTTGTAGTTGACTCGAAGGATTGTGATACATTACATTGTAGGCCCTCATTCAAGAATATGATATTTTTTTTGAAAACCAATTATGGTGGTGATCATACGATCTGCTGGTTCTAATAATATGATATTTTTTTGAAAACCAATTAGGGATTTTAACAGCAACGATTTGTTAACAAATTTGTTTTAGTTTGTATGTTTGGATATTCCTTTTTGCCCCCTACCCCACACATTCATAGTTAGAAATTTCCGTTGCGATTCGTCAAGACATTAAGGAATATATTGGAGGATAATATTAAAATGGAATTAAGAAAAATCGATTGAGAGGGTGTGTACTGAATTAATCTGGCTCAGGATAGGATGGGTAATTTGTGTTTCTGATCGTATTAAATTGAAATGTACACTGTTTGGGTTTCCCTTAGTTGCATAAATAATATGTTAGTTTTTTAATAGGTAAAATAGCAAATAATGATTTCACAGGGTTAATTTATTTTTTTTACTAATATCACGGAAAATTAATCTTGGATTGTACTTTGAACTTTAAGAGTGAGAGTAAAACTTTCATTGTAGACCGTGCTCCTTTGCAGGAACTCGAAGTGTCAGAGAGCGGGACACGAGATGGCGCAGATGTAGGCTCTCAAAAATTCGCAGAAAGGGGTAAGAGTAGACATTTATATCCGTTTTTAGTTCAAAAATTTCTGTGAATTGTGTGTTGATGTGAACTGAGGCTTGTTGAAAAGCTTCTGAGGAATATAATTAATGATATTCTTTTATTTATACATCTCTATACTTGTATATGCACTGGATTTGAAAAGATAACAGCAGAAGTTATAATATGATAAGCAGAATAACATTATTAAATTACGGAGTACAATTTTATGTAGTACCACTACAGAGAAATATACAAAGAACGTTCTACCTTAAAAGACGCCTATGCAGCCTTGCAGAACAAAAGAATTTAGTACTGAAATAACCAGACATCGGATGGAAAAGCAAAGAAACTGCGTTTTAATAAAAAGAAGTACGATTTTAACTGTAACTCACTTTTTGTGACTTTGAAAAAGCGAATTTAAAATTACGCAGATTTCTGTTTCACTTCAAATAGAGTAGGGAAGCAAACGAAAGTTGTCAAACATTGCATAAAAAAGGCGGACCATTGTTTGTGGAGTTACAATTTCTATAAGAGTGACAGAACCAGTCGTCTTGTTGTCTGGAAGGGAATTTGCACAATGGAGTCGTTGAAAGAAATTAAAAACTTGGCTCAGTTATAATACAGGGTGTTACACTTCGGAGGGAATGTAAATATTATCTTGGGTAGCCACCAAATTTATCCTTTGCAAACCGCAGCGTGTTTAAAATGTATGCCTCTTAACAAGTATATGCTATTATCCGAATTACAAAAGGCGTATGTAAAATTGCATAATTTAATTCCAAAGGGAAGAATTTTTGAATGAGGATCGCATGCAGGTACATGGCATTCAGTAATAGGATTAATACAGTTAGTCCCAGAAAGATGTACACACATTATAATACGTAAAATTAACCTTGTTATTGGTCTCCAGGTGTTGTATTTACGAAAGATGTGGATTGTGGCGGGGCGGGGTCATTATGAAAGCCCGCTCAGTGTCTTCCTGTGATTTATGATATCAATAAAAGTTCTGGTGTTGAATAAAATGACGGACTTTTATCGGCTTAGTTTTTCGCTTAATTTTGTTAATTATTTTTTTCGTACTTCAGTTACATAAAATATTAAAATATTACTTATGGTCTAGCCTTCAGAACGGACCAGTATATGGACTGATGGCGGGCTCTTGGGAACACGGGAGAGGCTCCTTGGCTTCCATAAAAGGCGGGGAAATTTTTTGACTAGCTGAGCGACTATTAGCTTCTGAGAAAGGAGTTTGTTCCCTGTGGCCGGTTATTTATTTAGTTAGAGCGAAAGGAGAGTGATTGGTGGTTCTGATATGAAAACACCAATCTTGATAACTCTGAGTACAGCGTAGGCAAAGGTAATGTTGAAAATGAAAATAGTGACGTCAGATTTTTAAGGTAAATGTCAGTGTTATTGAACCGGATTATAAAAGTAGGCCCACATTTTAAGATTGCAAATGTACGCTGTCAGAGTTTTGCGTATTTTAAAGGTTTCTGTAACGCAAATTTCGGAATCTTTACCTTGGGCCAGTCTCTTCCCCCTACCCCCCTCTGGATCAAGACGCTGGTCATCTGCTTCCACGATTGTCCTCACATGAGGACACTTTGTTATGGTTTCCAGTGCTAAGACTTTCAAACTACGTTTCTTGAAAATTGATCCTTTCTGGAATATTATTATTGTTAAGTTCGCTCCAGACACGGACAGACGTATCTGCATTATCGTCGTTTTTTGGGGGGGCATGTAGGCCGGAAACTGGGGGTCCCCGTCTTTCATTCGCCAGTGCCATCACTAGTTGGACGCTTCTGAGCTCCGATCCGTGAGCCAGATCATGTAACTATAAGGTAGCTACCATTTTCAGCGTTACATCTAAAAAGTTAAAAAAAAGTTGTTCAGGAATAGCACGGGAAAAGATTTATTTAAATGGATTTTGTGCGTGCGTTACGTAATCAGTTACGCACCAAAGGGTTCAAGTGGGGAAGTAAAAGAAATGGCGTGTTATTAAAATGAAGACGTCTAGATTTTTAGATTAAAATATTTTTTTTGCGAAGATCCGTCCAATTACACAGTTCAGTTTATGCTAATGGTCGTTTGTCTTCGTTGCTTTCATGAATCAAGACCAGTTCTTGTATCTCAAAGATAACTTTTTCAACTTTACCGTTTGCATACCATTTGCAGGCCTAGAATCACGGTTTTGGACGTTTGATTAATAAAGTAATTTGCATACAAACTGGAAATAAAATTCGTTCTTCCGTCTTGTCGGAAAACTTAGGCGATGTCGACATTTGAATTAAAGCAGGGAAATTTTAATTTATGATATGTCTTGTAAACTCTCCATCTGTCATTCTATTAATCTTAAGAAATAAAGGTAATTTCTGGCAGAGAATTTTACAGACTGTCCCACGTAACTTTGAACCCACCTGCAAGCGACGGCTCTGCGTATGTGACTGACTCATTTTCCAGTAGCTTGCTCGCTGATGCTACTGTCGTGGTGGGTTCCACGTTAAGTGGGACACTCACTGTACGTATTAAATTAGACTGATTTGGTAGATGTCAGACGTAACACTTTGTACGAAACACAGTTTAATCTGTCCTGAACACAATCCCCTAGATTAAATGAATGAGGTGGGATATACAGCTACTACTGGATTTAAAAGTGTTAAAGTGTCAAAGAGAAAATACAGCAATATACCTGCTGCTTCTACTGCCAATTGAATAGAACCGCTATATTCCAATCTCCAAACCACCAGAGCTATGCTGGTTCACCGAATTATTTATATTATTGCGCTCATTTTTAAGTGTGCCTGAACTGCGCGTTGTCACAGCAACATTAAAATATATTTGTTGGTCTAGTGGAGCAGACATTGTGACCACGAACTCGTGGAACCTATTCGGATTTCTGATTTGACGTTATGATATTCCTGTAACCGATGCAGCGTGGTTGAATGAATTCTGAGAAAAGGCGTGTTTGCATTACGACAGTGAAATACAGACAGCAAAATATTACTTCTTATTTTCAAAATGATCCCGAAATTCCAAAACAGAAATGTAATATATTTGAGACGGAAACAAAGACTAGAAAGCAATTAAAATATCCCCCCTCCCCCCGCTTTCTACCGCGTTCTATGTTGAAAAATATTCTCTGTCTGCTATATTTGAAGCGTATATTCTGTGACATCAGGTCGGTTACTGCCTGGTTCTTAATAACAGGACTGGCTATGAAAGCATTACGTATATCAGTCAGTGGATTCCTTTGTTTTGTTCTAATATTCATATGAATCTAATTAATTTCATTCCTTCTTACGCGGGCGTTAGCAACTTCTGATACTGGAGCACAATGTTGACATTATTTACCTAGCGAGTCGATCCCCGTATTTTTTTTTTGTAGTGTTCTGTCTGACGACAGGTCCATATGAACAGGATCCTTCCATCCCTTTCTTGGACTGGGACCTGTTCATATACGTTCTTGGCAGATGATCCAGAAGTGGTTTGCCATTGCCTTCTTCTGTGTGTGAATGGAGTAATTGTTGGGATGCCACGGAGAAATCGGGGAAGCCCCGGAGGAAAAGTCCGTGTTGCCTAGACCACGGCCTTGCCCAACACAAGTTATAAATTCAGGCACCGCCGGGAATCGAACCCGAGACCCCAGGATTACAAGGCCAGCGTTCTAACCGCTAGACCACCGTGGCACGGTGATCCCCGTATAAAGAAGGAAAAATATTAAATTTGCATAACACGTCATTTTCCTTTTGGGGCGACATTTTAAACTTATGATACAGTTATGCCTACGACTCATTTAATTTTGTTATTTTTTTATTTTTTTCGGAATGTAAAGAATTAGATGTGTTGGTGAAATACCTTTGTGACATGCCTTAATTCATAATCATAACCACCGTCAATCCTGTGATTTGCTTATGACATACGTAAATTAAATCAGAAACAAGAAAAAAGGATAAAAATTTCTATTGAAGTTGAATAATACATAATCGAGCTAGAATATGTTTCTACGTATATTTTCCATTGTCTAGTATACGTCTGTCATGATAAGAAATCTGCATTCCTTTGTCAGTTCTTGTACTACCATATCGAAAATTACTTAAAGAGTAATCTTAGAAAGTAATTATAGCATGGCTGTAGAATTGCATTGGCAGTCACAATAATTTCACGTTTTCAATTGCATTCGGCACAAAACTGTCTCAATATAACATCACAATGGTATGTGATTTGTCGTCATGGTAAATTATGTACAGTCTTATTTTTAGATCTTGCCGGCATCATATCAATGCGCAGTGTATTTTGAGTGAACTGAAGGAAAGGGATTAGGAACAGGTTAGGTTAGTCAGGGAGTTCTGAACGAGTCAATGTATCACTCTTCTTATCCCGGGTTGGATATTTCCGTGACGTTTGTTAAATTCAGTTGTCACGTAAGAGACGGATAACGTAATAACTCGACAGCTAGCCCCGTGGCACTTTGTTTCATGAACTTAGGAACTACTTTCTCTCTGCCTCATCGATTTTGATGTTCCTTTGACATCTCTTGTGACGTCACACAAAGAAAGTTTGCTTCGGAGCTCCCGATGTTGCTACTTTTAATAAATCTAGGAAATAAGTTCATTTTCTTGCCACTTCCAGGCGCAGAGTTGAGTTTTCAACTACGTAACTTACTAGTATCGTCTGAAACTATTAGTTTAAAATTCGATAGAAAAGCTATCTGAGTACTTTTAAAATTCCGTTATCTTTTGTTGCTTCTAAAGACAATCTCTAGACGTTTTAATCCAATTATTTTCCTTATATAATTGTCTTAAATGATTTTAATGTCATTATTAAATGAAAGATTTGTTACGAAGTTCATAAAATTTGAGGTGTGGTCGAGTCCAGCCCACGGAGGATGACTCCACTGTCGGGCAATAATTGGATCCAACAGATGCAGACTCGAGCAGGGAAAATCTAAAGCTTTTGTTGGGAGGCATTGTTCAGCAACAATGATTTGGGCTATTAGTGCAAGAAT